AGTCAAGCAGTTCTTGGACAACCTGAGTCTTGCCATTCTGGATAGCCAAACGGAGAGACTTTTTGGCTTTAAGTTTCTTCCATGAGCAAGGACATGAGCCAGGACGGTCGCACCTCATCGTCGCAGCCACAGGGTCAACTCCGGCATGCAGAAGTAGTCTTACTGTCGAAGCATGTCCGAACTGGGCCGCATAATCCAAAGGAGTAAGACCCAGATTGCAATGAGCATTTGGGTTAGAGTGCTTTAAAAATAGTGCCACTATGGCTGTATGTCCCATTTGTGCAGCGTAGGATAATGAGTTCCGGTTTTCAGTAGTCTCAGCCAAGGCTGCACACTCATCCATTCCCAGGAGATGTTCTGCATACGAAGTGAGCCCGAAGAAGGCCGCAACGTGTAAGGCTTTGAAGTCCCCAGATACGTGATGCCATTCATTGTGGGGCAGCCAGACAAAGTCCAGCCAGTTTTGGAGAAGTTGTGGTTCGTTGAGCAGGAAAGAATCAAGCGCCTCGAAAAGCTCATCGTCGAGCTTTCCATACATCTTGACGTGTGTTGTCCAATGGTTTGCCGCGTATTCCAGGAATGGGAAACTTCTGGATCTTTCCCTCCACTCGTTTTTCAACGAGATCTTGTCTCCAGCAAAACGCGAATCATTGTCCTCTCGATCGAAGCTGTCTGACTCTGTGCCCCAGGGGGAGAGGAAGCATCTGAATGACAGATATTCAATGCATGTTTCAGAAATGACATAATGTGCGTGATCATGGCCAATAACAGGATATGTCAAATCCGCTCCAGGCGTGTCCTCTGCTCGTCTCTGGTCGGTGAGGTACTCTGTCAGAGAGTAGTGGATGGCTTGCACGGTTTCGTCGGGGAGAACCTCTAACAATGGTCCGCAAGAGCGCCGAACTTCAGCTTTGGCTTCGGCCTGAGAAGCATGTACAGCTGATTCGCCGTTCGGAATATTTAGCACATTAGCAAGCTCAATCAGTCGAAGGGGCCGGGTTGCATGAGTGACCCAGCGAAGAATTGTCAGTTGCCGTTCCAATGACACTCCAGTCCTCAGCCGCTGCTCGTTCAAAATGGACGCATACATATTTTCAACCCCTTTCGGCAAATCAGATAATGCGGACTTCAGGTATTCCTTCCCTAGCTCATAGCCCTTCTCCGACAACTCATCAATTGCAAGCCTTGCGTATAGGAAAAGTCCATTGCTAACCGTACAGATGGTCTTGCACAACTGTCCTCGAGCGCCTTCGTCCAATTCCAAAACGTCGAATGTCTGAAGACGGGCTTTCACGAACATGGCTATATCGCCTTCCGTATTGTGACGATTGAGCTTGATCTTTGTGCGCAGGTCTGTTGTGAGAGCTTGTTCAGCTGCAGCTAGCTGTCGGGTAGCTACCACGATTTTTATGGCTGAGGGTTTGGTATGAGCAAGCTCGTTGATCCTCGCATAAAAATCCTCATTGCCTGGCGCCAATTCGTCGAGACCTTCAATAATACAGTAGACCTTCTTCATGGCAGATACGGCGGAAATAAAGATCTGCCATAAGACATCAAACGTCAATGTGGAAATGCTTGGATGACGTGTCATCTCGTTCCCCAGCTCTCCAGCGAGTGTGTCTGAGTATGGCAGCAATTGACTTAGCCAATCGCGGATCAAGGAAGCAGGACTCTTGTTGCAATCGATGGTTCTGCGGATGAAGAAGTACAAGACCGGAGTGACATCAAGCGAGAGATGCTCGATTAAGCTTGAGGTAACGACGGACTTTCCACTCCCTGGAATGCCTTCGAGCCAAAGAAGGCTTTTGACAGGAGAGGTGTACCATTCTCGAAAAGCTTGCCTCTCATGCAGCCAGTGACAAGTGCCAGCTGTGCGCGCTGCAAGATGCTTTTTGAGGTCGCCAGAATCCGAACTGTAATCTGTCGGACAAAGCCATGCCTGCAATTGGGCAGTCGTCTCCGCCGAGACTTCTCTGGATGTCAGCGGAAGACTGCATAGCGTTGTATGATTTTGGTAGAACTTGCCATTGCTTTCCTCAACGTTCTGATCATTAATGAGAATGTAGTCATCGGACAGCTTGTCTCCAATGCTTTGGGTGGCCATGACGGAGCACACGAGACGATGAGTTTGTTGCTTTCTTCCTTTGCACGAACAATACAGAGATCCGAGAGTATCCCATTCCAAATTCGAAGCTTTTGGACTGAGTAGTTGTAAGGGATAAGTCGCCTGGAGTCTGTCAGTGCGGTTCAACACCCAGGCAGCAGCAGCCTTGTGAGCGGTGAGCCGAGCCAAAATCAAAAATAGTTGGCACACCAAAAAGAAGTCATTTGAACTTCAGCACAACTCTTACAATTTTTGGTGATTATGTATAGATGTCTTTGCAGTCCTAGAATCCTCGTGACTTTATTACTACTATGGTGCAATATAAATAGTCATAGATACAGTGAGAAGTAGTGGTATCTATTGGAAAAGTAGGATCAAATGCGCAAGATTGTCATTTTGCAAGTTTTGGTGTGCCACTTACTTTTGATTTTGGCTCGGAGCGTAGTGAACTCATGCCACTCCTTTAGTTGATTAAACGTCCGGGCAACTTTTCCGAGGCTTGGCACCTTTTAGCTGTGCCAACTATACCTGCAGCTGCGTTCATGCAGTTGAAGTACCACTCCCGCGACCGCTTAAGGCAGCCTTCAGTCTCGACTCCTCTCTGTGGCCAGCAAGCAAGAGCTTGCAGCATCGTCTGTTCCGTCTTCCGTTAACCTCACGAATCTGCTTTCAACTCTGCACCGAATCTCTCGAAGCGCTCTGCAGCATCCTGCTCTGCATCAAATGGGAAAAAGTCTTTGGATTTCATTCCAACTTTGTCTTTGGCGCATTCTCTCCCCGTAGCATCTTTCCGATGCCACTCGTTTCGTTGCTGCTCGCCCATTTCGTACACAGCTGCCGCGCGTCCAATGCGGATTGCCTCGACCACTTTAAGCGCCAACGCGACATTGATTGACTCCTGCCTCAAGCAATAAGCAATAACTGCAGCATCCTCGATGGCTTGTGTCGCGCCCTGGCCGGATGTAGGGGAGACTGGGTGAGCTGCATCGCCTGCGATAATCAGGCGACCACGCTTTGATGTCCAAGAGGAAAGACGTGGCCGGTGACATATCTGCCAGTCCAGACATTCTTCGGTCTTTGCGAGCGCTGCCACAAGTCTGCAAAAAGTAACCCATCAGCAATCGACCCTCAGATCATAACTTTGCAGGTTTTTCTTACCTTGGATCCCACCCTTCCACCAAGTCGAGGACATCTTCGACCCTTCCGGGGGCGAAATAGCCTTCGGTGACTTCGCTTAGGACCTCAATAGTTGGTCGCGTGATGATATAGTACCAATCCTTCCCACCCAAGAATGAGCATCCGTTGACATGGCAATCGTCACCAAGCCAAAAATTCCCTTTATCGCCATCAACCAGCCAAGCTGTCTCCGGGTCGGCGGCAAGAGTTGTCCCCGAGACATAGCCCCGGTAGCACGAAAATCCTGAGGGTATTGGAGGCGCGGCGCAGCCGAGAATATACTCGCGAGCGAGACTCTTGATCCCATCGAAGCAAACCACCACATCTGCGTCGTACTTGTCGCCATTTTCCGTCACAACGCTTGGCTTTGCATCGCCCTTGTCATGGAAAGACACAACCCGCGCCCCGAAGATCACCTTGGCACCTAACCCGATGGCATGATCCAGAAACAGACGATGGTAAGAAGCTCGAGCACCAACCAGTACTCTATACCCATAGATATCTGCCAAATCAAGCTTCTCCTCCGCCAGCACGCGGCCATCCTCCCAATGTCGCATCGAAAAGACGTCAGCCTGACACGCGACCTCATGCATCTCCTGGACCAAGTTGAGACACCATCTGTCGAGCAGTCTCGTCCCGTTGGGCGTGAAGCCGAGAACTCCTCCCAGTGAGCGGAATTCGGAAGACGCTTCGAGTACGGTCACCTCGAAGCCGTGATGGCGGAAGGCGATGGCGGCTGAGAGGTCTCCTATACCGCCGCCAACAACGAGGACATGCATTTGAAGTAGCTCTCAAGTATGTCAAAGTTGGCCAGTATCTGGCTTGCAAGGTCGTTGCTGGGGACCGAAAAAAAGTCGACGGACTGAAGAAAGTATAGTTTAGGGGAGTTGCGCATTATGTGTCTCAACCAGTGTCACCCGTCTTAGCCTGCCAGACAGGCACCTTGTGCTACGTACCTGCCTTCTTGCACAGCGCACATCAGCCAAACCTATTTTAAGCCGGGCAGCCTCGCTCACCGCCAAAAGCCCCCTCAAGCAGGTGCATTTGAATCCAGTTCCACTTTTGAGAACTCCATGTCATCTGGAGCGGCCTCGAGCTGGCCTCACAGAGGCAGAGATCTATGAACTTGGTTGTGATGGTGAGGAGGCGTAGCATTAGTTCTAGCGCCCCGGATGAGGAGTACCGCGTAGGATGCAGATAGTTGCGAGAGTGTTCACTGCTAGTAGACTGTGTTGGTAGAACAAGAATCCCGAGCTATCTAAACGGGGTCAAGCGTGGCCCCCCAATCTCTTGGATTTCTGACAAGCTTCATCTCGTCTTCCCTTCCCACCAGTCCCTTATACATAAACATACACACGTGCTCTGTGGAGCGTAGCATCTATGCTAGAGCGTAGACAGGTATTTGATGCCGAGATCAGAAGGCTGCTGTAATCTTGAGTTGAGAGCCCAAAGGTCCACAGTCAGTGGTAGTTCTGCGCGAGGCTTCCTCTTGTGAGTCACTTCACCATCGCACTTGCCCACGCTGCTCTCACCGCACCACAGCCTCATCTCAAGGATCGACCCTCGTTTCAAACGCACAGAGCCAAACATCAGAACTAGCAAGTCTCAGATGAGCAAAAAGGAAAAAGAGTGATTTCCGATACCAGCTGCATTGTTGTTAGCCCACAAGAGCTGTATCGGGACAACCAGAAGACGGAGATTCTGGGCTGCCTGAGACAGGTTTCGGGGTATACTCACGAATTGAACCAGGAGCTCCAGTGTGAGAGACTGGAATGTTAACCATTACACCATATCGGAGTAGGAATGGCTGTGTGCGATTGTTGGACCAAATTCTGAGCATTCAATACTTATCTCCTTGTTTGAAAGGATGGGTCTGGCATGTAAAGTGAGGCAGGAGCCACCAAAAAATACCGAATTTCCGTAACGAAGAGTCGAACTCCGATCAACTGTGCGAAAGACAGGTATGCTAACCGTTACACCACTACGGAATTTGATTCAGATGATCATTATGTGTTTGTCTGGTGATTTTTGTTCTGAATTTGCATGTCGAAGCATATGAGTCTTTTTTTCTCTGGCCGGAGTCGAGGCTGGTGCTCGAAGATGAGTCATTCACAGACAGGAGCTTGTACGCTGCCTTGATCGACAAATCAATCTATCATCTATGCGTCTCAATCTTGCACCTATATCCTGTGTGTCATGCACTGTATCCTCTATCATCTCTTTTCCTGTTCGGTCATCTGCGCCACGATCCTCCTGCTCACGACTTCCCGTCAGAAAACTGCACAACAGCCCACTTACCACTCCACGCCCACTTCCTCGCACCTGAATCTCCTCCTCCTCCATCCGTCGCGCGGATTTCTTCATCTTTACCTTCCGGCAAACCAACAACCACGTCAGCCTTGCAAGTGCGGAGGGCGAGAACTCGGAGGCCGGAAGAGGGACCTAATGGCCCGATTGCTTCTGCGAAGGGCGTCGAGGCGGGCCATGCAGCCTACCATCAAATCAGCGTCAACTTCGTAAGGAGAGTAATAAGTGTAAAGGAGGGAATGGACGTACATCACCAGCCAGCTTCCGATAGTTCAAATCTCCTTTGAAAATGACCAGCGAACTCTCCTTCAAATCGTCCACCAGATCCGGCGCCACGCTCGGCATGCGCCAGAAACTGCCCGCGTGCGTCCAAAACCGGTTCGGCCGCAGGACTAGCTTCCCTTCGCTGTGCAAGTGACTCAAGTCATCGAACAGGAACTGGACATTCGCGGCCTCCTCGTCCGACAAGGGTGGAGGTTTCTCGCTCGCGGAAGGATCGTCGTCTGCGTCGGAGATGGTTTCGTAGAAGGCCTTCGGATCCGCCATTGCCGACAAGAGTGCCGAGAAGTCCTTGGGCACGACGTCGCTCACGAACCAAGGGATGTCCTTGGGATGCAGAACGACCTCCGTCGCTAACCCAGTCGCGACCAAGTATCCCGCCAGCAACAGGTCCACGAACAACTCAAAGCCCGCATTGTCAAGCACAATGTCCACCCGTCGCGACTCGGCCTTCGCCTTCTGAGCGCGAGTGAGGACCTCGAACGCGCGATCCAGATCATTCACCAGGATATTCTTCTCGCTCTCCTTCCTCGCACCACTGCCCTGCAGTTTTTGAATGTCCTCGTAGGAGAGACTCGTCAGCAGACTCAGATCCGTAGCATTTCCCCACAGGCAGATCTCGGCCATCTCCACGAACAGCAACATCTCAGCCTGTTCGATCTCCTTCTCGTCCGTCACATCGTTCGCCACCGGCGCGCCGGATGTTGAGGACCGGATCTGCGTGATGATGTCCCTGTAGCGCGCGCACAATTCTATCACCGCCGGCCGCGACGACTTGAACGTCTTCATCTTCTGCCTGTAAAATGGATCGTAGCCCTTCCAGAATTTTGTCTTGGCGGTCGAGAATAACGTCCCGATCCGGCGATACAGGTAGCACTCGGCGTACAGCCACTCGACGGCATGCCACGTCGGTGGGCCTCGCGCCTGGAGTTCGTCGTTGTAGAGCTTCACATCCGGGGCGCCATCGTCTGTGATCGGTGATAGAACGCGATTATGCTGTAATTCGTACTTCAAAGTCGATAGCGATGACGTGATTGCCTTCCCTTCGGCCAGAGCATCCTTGTCTGCGTCCGAGATCCTGGATACAGTGCGATGAACATCGTCAATCGCGCCTGTTATGATCGCCGGCCACCGCTCGCGAGCAGACTTGTGGGCGAATGATGTTGGGTCGGATGTCTGATAGGTCGGCACTTTGGGATCGTATTCCATGGTATTGGTTTTGCCGAGGAGGCTGTGTAATCGAAACGGATAACACTTGAACTTTGCGACTTTCAGATGAGTTACAAGCTTTATGTTTTATACTGTGTCGCTGCCGGACAAGGAGGGTTGGAAGTTAAGAATCGGTTGAGCGAGGCTCGTCCAAACTTGCCCGATTGGATCCCACTGCACGCCAATCAGCTGGCTTTGACGACAGCCTGACGCAGCCTTGTCATTTTGGTGGCGCCGCCGCCCTCTACTGTGTGCGGAAGGACAACGATTTTGACTCTGGTTCATCTATTCGGTGGAGAGAATCCCAGCTCTTTTCTACATCTGATACATAGGCCCTTGCCATCGAATAGCTCACCCAAAATCCAGCCTCAATTCAATAGCTGGTCTTGACTCTACACTCTCCTCCATTGAGACTTCCTGCCTCTTTCCGACTCCAGCAGCCCGCAACAGGGTTTCCAACTCCGAGCGCTGCTCATCATCCAGTAGACCCACTGTGACTTTGAAGGCAATCTGATCAGCTGCGACCAGCTCAAGTAATCTAGCTGTGTTCTCTTTTCGCACTGCTTCCAAGTTGGTCCCCGTCCGGACCTGCTTGGCACGCAAAAGGAGGACGGGCACCAAGATTGACATTGCGGCGAAGCGTCCTCGACCCCTGATCGTCACAACGGCAGCAACTAATGCTTGTGTCAAAGCAGTTTTGACGCTTTCCGGATCTTCGACTTCGGGATCAGTGACGAACGGAATCAGTCGCGTCCACAGAGTCCGGCCAACCTCTTCATCGCACGGAGTCTTGTGGTTCGTGACCAGAAGAGAGCGCATGCACCCAGCTGCAATCTTTGCGAGGCCAACATCTTGGAGACAATCCAACAGTTCTGAAAGTGACCTGGCGACATGATCACTATTTGCCGGAATGACAGAGCTAGCTGTAGTGATCAAGATTGTCATCGATAAGAGCGTGTTCTTCGCGCAAGTGATGGCATGCTCATTCTCCCTTCTTTGCGCAACCGTCAAGGTGGACAGCATCCGATGTAGACACCCACACACTAGCCTCGAGGCTACTTTACCTGGAGCGGACTGAAAAACGTCTTGCAAGAACGCCTTGAATACTGGCATAATTCGCGGTAAGACCTCATCCTGACAAAGTCCAGTCGCAAGGAGAGTGCAGTAGCTGTGAATGATACAAGCATGTAAATCTGCTCGAATTATTGCTGGAAACACTGAGGCGACGTCGACCAGAGCCTGGAAGCACAATTGCACCAGCGCCACGCCGTCGTCTCCAAGCCGTCGGGAAGCAGTGCCTGGTGGATCTTTCAAGGTCGGGACAAGGCCGGTCAACACCAAGATGATGATCCTGGTCAACTCGAAAAGCTGTTCAATGTCGTCCGATATTTTGTCGTCACGATCCTGGCTCTTTGCTGCGACGTGGTCCAGCGAGAGATTCCTGGCTATCTCGACGAGAACACCCTGGGTCTCTCTGGTGCTGGTGAGAGCAAGCCTGTCTAGCGTGTCCGTTGTCTCATTGAATACAGCATCTTCGTAGATGGCATTGCCGCAAACTTCCGGTGTCAAAATCTTCTTCAGGGCCTGCAGAATCGAGAGCGCTTGAGATGGATCTTCTCTAGCCTGTGTTACCAAAGCTTCGAAAGCCAGCCCAAACAGGATGAAGAAGAAGGCGACAGGCTCTTCGCGGAAGCTCATATCCTTGCCAGCCACAACAGTACCGTCGGCATCCCCATTGGCCGTTGAGGCGCGCTTATTATCGAGCGCATCAAACACTGACTCGCTGTCCTTCTCAACAAGCACAGCAATGGCATCGACAACGCTGAGCCAGTTGTTCTGGTAGAATCTCAGTCGGGCCTCGCGGTTGAAGGAGGCATATCGCTCATCCAGATTGCCGCCGGCAATTTCACCTCCCAGAGTGTCTGAAATTTCAGGTTCGAAACGTAAGCTAGCAAACTCTTGGAGAGAGGTGAGCCAAAGTGGTGCAAGCTTGGGAATGAATGGTTGCAAGATCTCTTCCAGGTACGGCTGTTCAGAACTTGCCAGTTGTAGCTGGGCCCATCCTGACAGAATACCCATTTTAAGCATAGCCTGCGCATTTGGGCTGAGGTTTGTGAGATCGCCGATTGCTGGTTCGGGGGTAGGTTTGGTCAGATTGTCGACTCCCAAGGCCAGAACCTTGAAAATACGACCCATGCGTTCTGCGTTCGTGACAATACCTGTCGCGACAAAGGTGGCACAGACGACGATGGCTTCGGCCGCAAGTTCCGGAGAAGAGTCCGCGGCAAAGGCTGGTGTCAATGCTGAGCTGATTTGGGCCTGATATTGCTCTAGGAGAGATGCTTCCAAAAAGTCGGGGTCGGGAGTCTTGCCAAACAGCTTCAGGATCTGATCGATAAGTCGAAGACCCCAAATACGAAGCTCCACTACGTTGGCCGTGGACGCTGAAAATGCGACGCGGACTACTTCGGCAATCTTGCTTTGCAAAACCTCCTCAGCATGGATCACACGATCTGGCAGCATTGCGGCGTGGATGATGTCCATTGCCTCGCTGAGGAGGCGCATGGCAAAGTCTCGAGTCTGCCACCGGAGAAACTCCTGGCCCTCGGATGCGGCATCAGGGGCATCGCCTTGTCCACCAGTGGCAGCAGTCAAGCCAGCAACATCTTCATCGGCTAGATCCGGTGCTGCGGTCTTCGCCGTGGCAGTTTGTATCCGCGATGGTGGTGCTGCCTTTGCTCTCGTTTTGGACAGTATGCTCTGGCATTTCTCAATCCACTCAGCTGTGTCAGTCAGGATCGTTTGCTGCATCCAGTTCTGCAGCATTGCCTGGAGCGATGCATTGCCGGGATTGTCATCCAAGTGTATCCAAAGATCATCGCTGAGCTTTGAAGTTGCCACGCGAGCCACTTCTGATGCATTTCTTTTCATCAATTCATCAAGGCCTTGCACAGCCGCAGACTGGAGTAGCTCTTCTTCTGATGGCAGATTTGCCTGCAGATCCAAGACGTACTTTGCAAATTGGAGATGCGCCGGGGCATACATGCAGAGATGGCGAAGGCATTGATAGCTTTCACTTCGCAATGGTGGTGAAGCTTCCTTCTGGAGATATCCGATCAAGACCAGTATAAGGTTCCGAGCTTTTGACACATCTTGCAAGTCGGGGCCAAGCACATTGATGACGCTATCCACA